ATAAGGGTCACCACCCATCTCCCCTTCTGTATGACACAGAATTAAACCACTGCTCCTTAGTGTGTAAAATTAAACAGAGGTTTCTAGCTGATGAGGACACCAAAGGAAGGGATCATCACTCCTTCCTTCTGGGAGAGGTGTAGAAAATGAAATAAAGACCTTGTCCATACAAAAAGAAATTGATGGCCAGTTTAAAATGCAATTCCCATGGCCTAGAGCAAAGAATATCCTTACATGATATTATTCCACAAGGTCACTATAATTTTTCCCACATCTGGGTTATCCCTATTACCTATAATAGTATAATAGTACCTTGCACCATGGGGTATCAATAAAAAATCATTATATATATATATAATTTATTTTGCTGGTGCTTGGAGACAAAGGTAACACAGCTCTTGATATTTTAGAATTACAACAGCACATTGTACAATTTTCCCAAACAAACATACAAACCAATTCTTTGAATGTCTGGCAGCAATTTAAAAACAACATGAAAGGACTTCATCCCTTCCACTATGCAGAGGGTCCCCTGGGAAGGCACCTGAGCATTCTGTACTGGCCCATCTTGCCCTTTTGGCCAAAAATGAACCTCTTCTTGTGGTCCAGGTGCCCACAATTGTTGCCTGACTACAGTCACGCTGAGGCTGAAGCACCATGTTGGCTGGTACCACGGATCTCTCATCAGCCCAGTGGTGGGAGCTGGGCCCTCTCTGGAAAAGAAACATGGGTTCCCAAAAATATGAGATCAATGCCTGGGCCTCGCCAGCAGGTGAGGGGTTCCTGAGGCAGGTGCTGGGTGTGGAGCCTATGGGGGCATAGGCTACCAAGGAGACAGAACTAAACCTCACATCACCTTGCTTGGCCCCCGAGGATAGCTGGTTAGCCAGAGATGGGTAAGATTCCTCAGGGAAGGAACAACCTAAGACAGGCACAGTCACAGAGGGGCCATGAGGAGAGAACTTGGGGGTCAACAGAAGTGGAGCAAAGACCCTTACTAACCCCCCTGCAACAGGGCAGGCGCCTGAACCTTCTCCCATTCTGAGGGAGGTCTCCTGTCCCCTTGGCTGCTTCGCTTCCCATGCACAGCTCAAAGTGGGACCCAGGTAACAGACAGAGACTTGGCTGACTGCAGCTGCCCTCTCACTGCAACAAGACTTATTTGAGAGGTCTCATACCCATGGTGTGGGCAAGTGGGTTTTTAATATCCAAGTCCAGCCTAGCAGCAGGAATGGTCAGGCCCTTCTCAAGAAGGAAAATAATCAACTCCACTAATACACACATGGTAAATGAGATTGATGCTAGAGTGTTGAGTATGACAGATGAATGGTAGCCAATTTCTCAGAGGAAAGTAATGTGGCTAGTGGAAATAAATGAATATTCTAAAAAAAACCAATTGTACTGTTCAAAAAGCTGTTCCTAAAGGGTTAACAAAAATTCTTATTGTCAGAGCATCCCACGGTAAGATTGCACAACATGTTATGAATCTAAAGTAGTCATAGTGTAGCGCAAATAAGTTAAAATGTAAAAGCTATCAAGACTACAGTATAAAATTTCCAAAAGTTTCCTATTATTTAAAGTAAAAAAGGGGGTGACAGTGGAAGAATATCATGTAAGGAAAAATATCCTGAGAATAACTTACATCTAAAGAATTTGTGCTCTAGAAAATTAACCTTCATTCGAAACGCTACTAGCAAGATACCCATGAAAATACACACATGGTGACAAAACAAGCCAGGGGAAAATCATTTGGGGGGGGGGGGGATAAAAAAGAATCCTAAATCAAATTTAAAGAAAATATCCCTTTATTAACTTTTGGTCGAGAATATGTCTGTATATTTTCAGAAAACAACTCCGAGACCATCTGGAATTCTGTAACAGAGAGGAATAGACAGAAGCGCTCTAGCCATGAAGACAGAAGAGACACAATTCAGAGATGGAAGATGCTGACGACGCCTCAGCATACCAGCAGACAGCAGCTGTGGGCTGCTGAAGGATGCCCAGGACTAAACCAGAGACAGGCGGACCAGCATTACCGCCACTTGTCCACCAACCAGATCTGAAATAACATGGCTGGCATGTACACATAAGGAACTATCTGGCATTGAAATTGGGACTCAAAAGAACTGTTGGCCCAGAAAGGAATTCACTACAGACTGATTCATTTGCCTCTCAGCATAACCATTATGGCTTGTTGCAGTTTAGGTTCTTATAAGGATATTTCTTGGATCACATGATCTCACACATCTAGAGGAAATAATGAACAACATAAACAGACCCAGAGAAAGAGAAGCAGCGATCAGACTCTCAAACCTCAGAGGGAAAGTAAGGGAGGATGGGGGTAAGAGGAAGAGATCAACCAGAGGACTTGTGTGCATACATATGGGCCTAGCCAGTGGCCATGGACAATGGGGGTTGAGGGGGAGGGGGGGCATATGTAGGGAGGGATTTGGGATGGGAATGGGGTTATAAGGACAATTATGTGAGACCATAATCAATAAAATAAAAATTAAAAAAAAAAACACACTCATGAGTCTATACTGATTTAAAAAATTGAACAAACAAGTAAAAACGTTGTAAGAAAGACTAACAATGTCTTCATATCTAGGAAGTGTAAAAAAACAACATTTCAGGACGAGATTTATGTAGTCTCAACCAAGAAGATTTCTTTCAGCGGGTTCCTCGGGGAGAAATTCTCTGGAGTCATCTGGAGCTTCTTAGAAAATATGTATTGGCAAGCCAGGAGCAACAGATGAACGAGATAGTTACAATTGATCAACCTGTCCAAATTATTCCAGCATCAGTTCAGTCTGCAACACCAACTACCATTAAAGGTATAAATAGCAGTGCAAAGGCAGCTAAAGTACAAAGAGCTCCAAGGATTTCAGGAGAAGATAGAAGTTCACCTGGGAACAGAACAGGAAACAATGGCCAGATTCAACTGTGGCAGTTTTTGCTAGAACTTCTTACTGACAAGGATGCTCGAGACTGCATTTCTTGGGTTGGTGATGAAGGCGAGTTTAAACTGAATCAGCCTGAACTGGTTGCACAAAAATGGGGACAACGTAAAAATAAACCTACGATGAACTATGAGAAACTCAGTCGTGCATTAAGGTATTATTATGATGGGGACATGATTTGTAAAGTTCAGGGCAAGAGATTTGTGTACAAATTTGTCTGTGACTTGAAGACTCTTATTGGATACAGTGCGGCAGAGTTGAACCGTTTGGTCACAGAGTGTGAACAGAAGAAACTTGCAAAGATGCAGCTCCATGGAATCGCCCAACCTCTTTCTTACAACGTTTATTAATTGGAAGAATTCCAATTAATGAATGTTGAAATAATGAGGGAAACAAAAATCACTACAGAATAATGGTTTCAGGCAAGAATTACTAATGTTGCTAAAATTAATAGGCAAAGTATGAGGGAAAACAGGATATTTGTGTAGCCTGAATTATTTCCTCCAAGATAAATATTAATTACAAGGAAAAATAGTAACTTTATATGGTGGAAATTCAGCAGGCACTACTGTAACCAGGTGAACAAAGTTAACATCACCAATAATAAGATGAATCAACATTATATACCCCCTGCTATGATGAATAAAAAAATGGCACATCAATCCCTGGTTAGAGAATCATCCCATACACCAAGTTGCAGGTACAATCCCTGGTCAGGGCACATCATTGATGTTTCTTTCTCTCACTCCCTCTCCCTTCCTCTCTGAAACCATATAATAGTATAATAGAGGGAATATGCAAATTGACCATCACACAGTCACAAAGATGGTGGGGTTCATAGCCACAAGATTGCAGCACCCAGTCCTCTCAGCCCTGCCGGAGTCTCCCAGTCCTTTCAGCCCTGCTGGGGGAGGGGTTGGTGGCAGGCATATGGTACAGCCGGACCCACCCTCAGGTGGGTATGGCTGTTCCTTGCACCTGCTGCTGGAATCCCACAGTCCTTTCAGCCCAGCTTGAGGGGCAGCAGGTGAACAGTGCAGCTGGACCCGCCCTCAGCCTCCCAGCCACCCAGGACTGGTCCAAGGTGCAGGCAAGCCTTGAATGGCAGCTGCCCAGCTGCTCAGAGCTGCCTGAGGCTCAGGTAACCAGGGCTAGCCAAGGCTTGCGCTGCTGGAAGTGGCAGCAGCAGAAGGGTGATGGGGGCATTGCCTTCCCCTGATTGCTGGGTTGCCTTCTGCCCCTGAGGGCTCCCGGAATGTGAGAGGGGGCAGGCTAGCCTCCCTCCCTCTCCCTCCCGGATCCAGTGCATGACTTTTCATGCACCAGGCCTCTAGTAAAAGTATATTAAAGAAAGAAAGAAAGCTAACAGGCTTCAGTGGAAAAAGTGGTGAAATTGAATGAAGTCTGTAGTTTGGTTAATTGTACTATACCAACATTGATTTCTTAGTTCTGATAACTATTGTGGTTATACATGATGTTAATATTGGGAAAAGCCAGAGGAAGGACATATGGGAATTCTCTTATTTTTGTAAGTCTGAAATTATTTTCAAAATAACAAGTTAAAAAAGAAATAAGATAGTTGTAGTTATATTGTTGTCTTTTGTATTTACAAAGTGCCACATGTTCTTACAGCTCTTCCAAATACTACTACTGCCATGCTTCACACTGGGACCAGACTTCTCAGTTTGCAAATCTGTTCCACATGTACCATCACATGGAATCCTCAACAATCCTGCCCAATATCATTCCCATTTTGCCGCTGATGAGAATGAAGCTCGGAAAGGGACGCATTTGCCTAAGGTGGCACAGTCACCTCAGAGGCCAGTTGGTGAGAGAAAAACAAGCTAGCAATATTTTATTATACAGGGGGTTGGCAAAGGACAGATTCATGTTGATCACACATTCCCCGGGGTCTACCTGGTGATGCAGCTAATGCAATAAAATAGCAGCTGATATGTACTGAGTGTCTGCAGTGTGTCTGAGCCATTGAACTAGAGGCAAATCCCACTGTGAACACTGGGATTTTCACCGGAACACAGATTAGAAGAGGCCCAGCTTCAAGGATTCCGACTTGCACAGACTGAGGACTCCCATTTCCAGAAGTTCAAAAACTTCCTTTTTTATCTAAAGGAAAAAAAAGACAAAAAAGAAAAAGAAAAAGGTCAAGATTAAGAAAAGATGGTCTTGGTGAATAAATTCAACCTTCTGGACTTTCTGGTATTTATGCAGCTGATATGGCCAGAGTCAGGGACGGCAGAAATTCTAACCCATATTTTATTCAGAGCTGGAATAGTTGCACAAGCAAAGGAAGGGGTATTATGTAAAATAACAGTTTCATTCAAGTGTCCTTTTGCTTGCTACCACTTAAAATAAAATCTCATACAAAAATATCTAAAGTGTGCCCAGATTATACACAATATCTATGTAATAAAAGCCTAAGCGACAGTTATGGTGGAATGATTGGAACGACTGGTTGCTGTGATAAGTACTGACCACCAGGGGCAGATGCTCAACACAGGAGCTGCCCCCTGTGGTCAGTGTGCTCCCACAGGGGGAGTGCTGCTCAGCCAGAGCCAAGCTCATGGCTGACGAGTGCAATGGTAGCCAATCCCATCTCTATGACAGTACTAAGGTGCAGTGGGCTGAATGGTAAGGAGCAGTGAGCAGGTGGGTGGTAAGGAGCGAGGGGTCTTGGACTTCAAAGAGGGATGTTTGCCTGCTGGCTTGGGCCTGCTCCCCATGAGAGAGAACAGGCCAGGTTGAGGCCCCTCCCCCGCCGTGCATGAATTTCATGCTCCGGGTCTCTAGTTCTAATATAGGAAAACTGCTAATAATGACATCAACATAAAAATAATATCTATGGGTGACTATTTTTGTTGTTACTATTTCTCTCTATTATTGTAATTAGAATACTAGTGGTGGATTACTCAGATTTAACATTAAATCTGAAAAAAATCGAATATGGCTTCATGTGCTGGACTTCAAATTGGTTCAACCACCTCGTTTTTAATTTTTATTGATTTCAAAAAGGGAGAGACAAACATTGATGAGAAAGAAAAGTAGACTGGCTGACTCTTTTTTACATCCCGCACTGGGAATCGAGCCCACTACCTAGGCATGTGCCCTGACTGGGAATTGAACTATGACCTCCTGGTTCATAGGTTGACACTCAATCACTGAGCCATGCCAGCCTGGCTAAACCAGTTAAAAAAAAACCCAAAATTGTTCAGGGGACAGTGTGTATGTGTGTGTGTAGGAAACTGAGACAATTGTCTCTTAACTTGAACTGATGTCTGATATAATTCACTGATAATTTGTGATCAGATTTGGTCATTCTGGGAATATAGCTTTGTTAGGTCTAGTCAGGGAGAGAAGCCCAGAGCCTATGTAAGCATCTGCAAGGTAGATGGTGACAAAGATAACTGGGCCTTCCTAGACCCCTGGCCCGAGGCAGGAATTCCACACCCTCCCTCACTAAACAGCTGTATAAAAGAAGTACCTATGTCCCTTTTTGACCTAACTTCCCTGGCCCATGCTCGGACCGGCGAGTTTCTTCCTGGAGCGCAAGATTAAAACCTCCCCTCTTTTAATCGCCTGGTCTCTGTGTCTTGTTTCCTGTGTCACAAACCTCTCAGTTTTAGTGGTAAATTAGTTCACTGGGCATGGTTGGAGGAGTAATTCCACGCCTCTTCGCTAGTTACTGCCTTGATTCATTACTGTCTGGTGACTGGCAGCCCTGTTTACTATTGCACAAATTATTTTATCTTTAACAGCTACATTGATCGATTGCTTCCCATAAGCTCTTTGACCAAGGATCAAATCTGGAACTGGGAATTGAACCAGCAACCTTTTTGTGCTTGGGACAGTGCTCACCCAACTGAGCCATACTGGCCAGGGCAGGCATTCAGTTTTTGAAAATATACTTTTATTGATTTTAAAGAGAAAGGGAGAGGAAGAGAGAGATTGAAATATCAGTGATGAGAGAGAAACATTGATAGGCTGCCTCCCGCATGCCTCATACTAGGGATGGAGTTCGCAACCCAGGCATGTGCCCTGACTAGGAATCAAACCATGACCTCCTGGATCAAAGGTTAACACTCAGGCACAGAGCCACTTAGGCTGGGTAAGGGCAGACATTCAATTTAATCTACTGAGACATCAGAAAAATCCCCAGAAACCAAAATAGCCTTCTAAATTAAGTAAGTGGGTTTTAGGAGATATAAATGAAAGGAGTTTTAGGGAATAAAACAGGCAGGTTTGGGAGTTTTAGAAATAAAGAGGGTCCATAGGGGACAGGGGGGATAAGGGGGTGGGAGAAGGCTTGGAGTCCATAAGTGGAGGCTTGGAGCAGCCAAAAGGCTCATATTCACAGAGAACAAAAGGTGCCACAGGAGAAGGGGAGAGGAGGAAATCCATTCACAGGAGATAGGAAAGAGCCACAGGGTATGGGGAGAAAGGAAACAAACTTTCACAGAGGACGGAGAAATGCCAACAAATGGCAGAAAGAGGAAACCAGAGTTTTACAGGAGACAGAGAATTCTACCACTGAAGGGGGCGAGAGAGAGGGAGGCACCACATGGGGTTTGGGCTTTGAAGCTGATGTTCTACCAATTGGAAGGCAGCATGAAGAGACAAAGAACTGCAGCCTTTATCGACCTTAGCAAAAAGGGGCTTGGGGGATTACCCGCTTTGGGACCCCTTTCCTAAATGGGAGTCTGTACTTGTTTCTAATAAATTTCACCTTTTCATCTACCACCTTTTGTCTGTGGCTTCATTCTTCAAATCCACGTGGACAAAAACCTGGGAAAGAAATCACCCCTGTGTCTTGCTCAGAAAAAAACACTCAACTCATGAAGATGTGAGCAATGAGGCAAATTTGCACCCCCACCTCCAACTGTACTTATAAGGATAAAAAGCAAAAGTGATTGTGTCTCTAAAGCAAAGCACAGGGAAGTATACCAAGTTCTCCAGATCTTCCTATTTCTCAAAGGTACAGTAGAGGTATGGTCCCTAGTGAGGCAGAAGCTCTCGGTCATTTAATGAGGAAACACAGCTGATTCCTATAAAATACATGGGAAGGATAGGATTGTGGGTAAGGGGTAAGATGGGTTCCATAATTATTTCTTTACAGTAACTGTCAAAGGCCAGGATGTGCTGGTCTTCATGTTAAAGACTTCATTACTGTGTTTGAACTCAGGTTCAGATTTAAAAAAAAAAAAAAAAAAAAAAAAAAAAAAGGAAAGATTAAAGACAACTGCTGGTTACATGGTACCTCGGGAATGTCCATCATCCTCCTCAACTTCTGATCTCTCCAATTCCAGTCAAAAACCAGAAACTTTAAAGGGTTCAAATTAAGGCCACCTGAAAGAGATAGCGAGATAGTGCCACAGTCAAGACCTCATGAACGAATTAAACTTACTTTTTATTCTCTTGGTTGCTTTTTGCCTCATTTGCTGTCCACTCCCCAGTCACTAATCTCTCACATTAAACGCTGCCCTTGCCTGAGGGAAAACAAATGCAGTAGTCCGAGACTCCCCTCCTCTATCTTATCACTGATTCTGAGAAGCAGAGAAGCTACTCTTGCTAAACTTGTCAAATGCTCAAGTGCTGGCAAAAAATCAATCCCAAGCCTCCAGGAAGAGCCAGAGAGTGAAGTTTCATTCCTGACAGAGATTTGATAAGATTCATGCAGTTTGGAGTTGAGTCTACCTGAGACCACATGACAGAGGAGGTGAGTGGGCAAAAGGATGAGGACAGGGCTGGGAGGTGGTTTGGGGCAGAGAAGGAAGCTAAGGTGAATGGGCCCTATTAAAGGCTGCTATCCACTGAGGAGACTGGGCTATTCCCACTGTCTTCCTGTCTATCTAGAGACAATAATAGAATGTGGGGCTCCAGGGGGACCTCAGGAATTGTCTGCCTTTCCGAGGCCTCAGAGTTGGGCACAGTTAGCTCTTCTCACTCTCCATGTTCTCCCCAAGCTGTTACATGTTTCACTTGGAAACATAACTGAAGCTTTCTTTCACACAACTGCAGCATGTCCCTTCAACTCTCCTGTGATTATTTCAATAATTCCCTCTGCCCAGAATAATTTAAAACAAAATTTTTTATTGATTTCAGAAAGGAAAGAGAGAGTGATAGATACATCAATGATGACAGAGAATTATTGATCAGCTGCCTCCTGCATGCCCCTTACTGGGGATCAAGCCTGCAACTGGGGCATGTGGCCTAAGTGGGAATTGAACCTAGACTTCCTGGTTCATAGGCCCACGCTCAACCACTGAGCTACATCATCCAAGCCCAAAATAATTTTTTAAAGCTTCTTATAATTACAATGCCTCTTATTTAAAATTCTCTGAAAATTAAAAATGATAAAGAATGATAAGGGGTTGGTAATCTTCTTTAAAAATAATTCACTGCTGGTGTAGAGCAAATAGTTACAATCTGTCTAAAAAAGTCCTGGGCATTATAAAAAAGGAGCTTTAAAATGCTTCCCATTGATAAAAGAATTCTTCATCTACACATATCCCAATAAAAACACCAGAAATTTAAACAGTTACAAAATGATCATTGTAGTATTATTTATAATAGCAAAAATAAGAAACAACCCAAATATTCTACCGTGATAGAATTGTTAAAAAATAATCTAACTTGGGTTTAATATACAAAATACAGAAAAAACTCATATAACTTGATAGAAAAAAGTTTAGTTTAAAAATGGGCAGAGGACCCAAGTAGGCATTTTTCAAAGAAGACATCCAAATGGCCAACAAGTACATGAAAAGATGTTTAACATCACTAATTATCAGGGAAATACAAATAAAAATCACAGCGAAAGGCCTGGCTGGCATGGCCCAGTGGTTGAGTGGGCACCTATGAACTAGGAGGTCATGGTTTGGTTCTCAGTCAGGACACATGTCTGCGTTTAGGCCTAGATCCTCAGAGCGGGGCGTGCAGGAAGCAGCCTATCAATTATTCTCTCTTGTCATTGATGTTTCTATCTCTTCCTCCCTTTCCTTTCCTATCTCTGAAATCAATAAAAATATATAAAAAACAAACACAATGAGATATCACCTCACACCTGTTATCAAAAAGACAAAAGATAGCCCTAACTGGTTTGGCTCAGTGGATAGAGCGCTGGACCGAAAGGTCCCAAGTTTGATTCCAGTCAAGGGCATGTACCTTGGTTTTCAGGCACATCTCCATAGGGGGTGTGCAGGAGGCATCTGATCTATGTTTCTATCTCATCAATATTTCTAACTCTCTATCCGTCTCCCTTCCTCTCTGTAAAAATAAATAAATAAATAAAATCTATCTATCTATCTATCTATCTATCTATCTATCTATCTATCTATCTCTAGATATAGATAAGTATTAGCAAGGATGTGGAGAAAAGAGAAGCCTTGCACACTGTTAGTGAAAATGTAAATTGGTGCAATCACTATGGAAAATGGTATGGAAGTTCCTCAAAACATTAAAAAGATACCTACCATATGATCCAGCTATCCTATTTCTGTGTAAATAGCCAAATAAAATGAAATCTCTATCTCAAAACGTGTCTCACAATTCTGTAGAAATCTAATTTCAATGATCTGTACAGCTTTGTTTTTTCTCTCTCTCTTCTAAATATAAAGAAGGGTGGTCTATTGCACTGGGGCCTGGTGGCCACAAAAACCCATCTGTACTCCAGTAAAGAGAGAGGTGAATCTCTGACTGGGGCTGGGAAAGAGGTGGCGTCCATCCCTGGCCTCTCCTGCTGCCCAGCCAAGTCTGCGTTTCACAGAAGGCCTATGAGCACCTCTCACCTGTTCCTTCATTTTCATTGACCCATCACGTGCACAAGACAAAAATCTAAACTCTTCAGATTACTGTTCAAGGCCCTCCACCACAATCTGACTTTCTTCCCAGTTGAATCACAAGTATAGCCCATGAAGTCTCGGATTAAGAAACGTGGTCTCTTCAGTATAAACAACTAGCATTTTTCAAGTTCTTAAGGTATGACACTCACTGTGCTGAGCTCTTTATTGGCATTCAATTTTCATAATAATCCTTTGAGAAAGGTACTATTTCTGTCTCTGTCATTCTGATAAACAGGTTTAGAGAAGGTAACTTGCAAGGTCATAGAGCTGGCATGGTTAAGTTGTTGGACCTGGGATCTGAATCCATAACAGGGTTTCTTGGACTCAACACAGTATTGCTCATTTATAATCTCCTCCAGTTATACCACACGTCTCTCCAGCTGCCCTCCCATTCCTGAACGTTCCTGAACGCTTTCCTCACATCTCCACAGATCCTACTTTAATTCTCCCCATATTTAAAAATCAGTTAAAAACTCTATAAAGCTTTTCCTGCAGACTTAGCTACCACATCAATCTCTCCCTCATTTCAACTCCTCTAGAGTCAGAAATGCTCACTTGGCCTTTGGGCTTTACTGTTCTGCAAGGTCAATCTAATTCTATGTGCACTTATCTCTTCAATGGGATCAGGAGATCCCTTTTGGGGAAGGCTCAGGAACCAGGAAAACCTAGACTGAGTGACTCTGGGAGGGCCACTTAACCCGTGTGCTTTGGTTTTCTCTCTGAGGAAATCAGAACCTTAGCCTGCAAGGGTGAGGTGAATACTACATGAGATATATGTAAATGTGTCTAGCATACTGCTCAGTACATGAAGGAACTAAAAAATATTTTTTCCCCTTCCTTATCTGGGGCCTCCAGTTTGTTACTTATAATTGCGCAGAGCTCTGTGTACAGTGGGTATATTTATCCTGGGTAGCTTTCATCTGAAGAGAAACACTAGTATTTTTAGTTTTCATTTGCTTTCTGGCAAATGACTATCTCTATACCGAGTTACTATACTAATGAACTCATTACATTTAAAAATATGAAAAATCCAGGAATAGCTCCTGTCAGTTATGAAACAATGTGTATTACTACACTGAAGAAGTAATTTGGAAATGAGAATTGATAAGGAATCTTTAATCTGCCTGGCAGGCAGAACAGGTAATAAGATCATTAGCAGGTTAGCAGGTGGATGTTGTCTGGAATACTTTTTGGGTAAAGCACTACAAGAGAAATGATTTAGAATATCAATATTTCATCCACAGAAACTACATTTTAATTTTTTAAAAATTGATTTCAGAGAGGAAGGGAGAGTGAGAGAGATAGAAATGTCAGTGATGTAAGAGAATCATTGATTGGCTACCTCCTACACGCCCCTACTGGGGATTGAGCCTGCAACTCAGGCATGGCCCTGACTGGGAATCGAATAATGACCTCCTGGTCATAGGTCAACGCCCAACCACTGAGCCATGCCAGCTAGGTGAAACTGCATTTTTATTTCAACATGTTTTCAAGTGGAATGGAAGTCGTGGGAAACGAAGACACAATTAAGTAAGAGAGAAATACTGAACATATCCAGTTCTACAAATTCCAGAGGGTACAAACTGATGGAATCAATTGTGGATCCACTAACCTGTTTAAAGCAACTGAAATCTGAATGTATTTAGGTGGGCACATGCCCTTCAGTTTCACAGTTCTCATCCTTCCCTACTCCATCATACCTGCTGGCTGACTTTATAGACTCACAGCTGAATTTCCAACTCCTTAATTAACACAGAGATCTGGTTTCACTGCATCACACATGTGGTTCCCAAAACTCACATGGGGGTACGGCCAACTCCCAGCTCTGAAGACCATTCACTGGCTCTTTTCATACCTTGTTTAACGAGTTCTTTAATCCTCCCTGGAGTTCCTACACCCAGGTGCACGGCACGCTTCTCCAGCAACTTTACCTGCTCCTGGACCTGCTCCAACATGGAAGAGAATAAAGAGAAGTGTGATACTGACGCAGACTACCAAAATTTATTTCTCATACAAACGTGGACTTCGACCACGGTTTCTGACTCATAATTCCCCAAGCCCTTGCAAGTTCCTAAGCATTGAGAGTGATAAAGCTGTCTTTTGTTATTTGAATGAGGAGACTTTTGGAAGCAGCAGAGGATGGAGACTGGTTCCAGGAGAAACTACAATGCAATTAGAGGGTTGAAACTTTCACTCCCACCCCAACCTCCAGGGGGCTGAGGTTGAATCAATCACCAATGGATGATGATTTAATCAATTATGCTTAAGTACTGTCGCCTCCTTTAAACACCTGAGAGGGAGGGTGTGAAGAACTTCTGGGCTGGTGAACACATGGAGATTCGGGGAGAGTGGTGTGCCTGGAGAGGGTAGGGAAGCTTCACAACCTTTCCCATCCCTGTACCAGGCATCTCTTCCATCTGGCTGTTCCTGAGTTACATGTTTTTATAACAGTAATCTAGTAAGTAAAACGTTTAGTTAGCTGCTCTAGCAAATTAATTGAGTCCGAGGAGGGGGTGGTGGAACCTCTGATTTAGAAATCAGTTGGTCAGAAGAATAGGTAACAACCTGGATTTTCAAACGGTGTCTGAAGTTGGGGTATAAGGTGTGCATGCTGTCTTGTAGGACTGAGCCCTTAACCTATGGAACCTGATGTATTTCTAGGAAGACAATGGCAGAACTGAGTTGCATTGTAGGGCATGAAGCTGGTGTCCAGAGCATTTCTTGGATATGAGAGGAAGCATCCCCTCCATATGTTGGAAATGGATACAGAAATGCTTTTCAAAGAGTCATTAGAAAATGCAATCAACATGGGCCAATTTAGAGCACTTTGTCTAAAAGTTAAGAAAGTTAAAAAGCAAGTGAGACTACCCTTGTTTAACATCAAGATAGAAGAAAACTGGTAAATCTTCACAGAGTCCAGGGTCAAGCCTCAGCTTCTGTAGAGGAATCTTGGAGCAGGGAAGAGTGACTGCTGTGGGGAAGGTGGGTGTGTAGTGGTAGGGAATGCAAAGAAAACCAAAATGGTCATTAAATGTGTTGTAAAAGGAGGCACCAAAGAAAACCCTTGCCAAGGAGTTACACAGAGGTTGGAGATAAAAGCTGAGGTCTAGAAGTGACTCTTAAGGATCACTAACATCTTCCACCAAGAACGATAGGCTCTTTGCTTACCTTTATGTGTTTTGCAAATAATTTCATAACTTTGCTGTCTCCTCTGAATGCTGTCATCGACCTAATGAAAAGGAATAGATTAATGCATAAGAAAAGTCACTCCTTCTGGGCCTAATTCAGTATTATTTATTTCTTTATTCAAAGAATACGTGCATTTATTTATATGTATACTAGGGGCCCAGTGAACAAATTTGTGCACCTTGAAAGGAACTGTGGGCTGCGAGGCTAAGGTGGGCACAGAGGAGGGTCTCAGCTCATCCTACGAGCCCCTGTCCGGCCCCTCCCATTGCGGCTCCTCATTGCCAGTAGTCCTGCTCCCACCACTGCTGCTTCCACATGCTCACCATGCCAGCCCCAATCGCATCTGCTGATGGTATGGAGTGATTGGGGCCAGTGCCAGCAGTAGATGCAAGCGGGCCAGCACTGTTAGCAGGTGTGAGCAGTGGCTGCTGTCCCGATTACCCCTCAGGAGTAGGGGGAGCTTGAGTAGCCCTGAAGAGCGACTGAGGCTGGCAGCTGCTGCTCTCTTCCATTGATGGCACCTAATGATCAGGGCTGGCACTAGGCACTGGCAGTGGGTGCGAGCAGCAGCTCTGGCACTGGCAGTGGATGCAAGTGGCAGGAGGTGCGAGCACCGGGTGGGACTGTGGTATGAGGGAGCAAAGAATTTTCAGTAGCCACCAGAGGCTCACCCCAATGTAGCAACGGGCACCCCACCTTGGTCTGGTGCCCCCGTTCACCTGCTCCACCATCCCACTGTGGCTGACACCCATCATGTTCCATGCTCTGCTGCCTGTTGCTGATGTCCACAATGTTCTGCGCATGCCCCCTGCTGGTCAGCGCAGTCATAGTGACTGGCTGTCCAGTTGTTTTGCCACTTGGTCTATTTGCATTTTAGGGTTTTATATATATACCCCTCCACCCCATATTTTCCGGCGTATAAGACGACGTTTGAAACGGAAAAAAAAGCCTGCTCAGATTGGCCAGAGTCAGAGAGGCGGTCTATTAAAAAAAATAACTGGTGTTGCCTTGGAAGTGGGGGGTAGTCTTATACGGCGAATATAGGCATAAACCTATGTTTTAACTGTAAAATTAGGGGGTCGTCTTATACGCCTGGTCGTCTTATACACCGGAAAATATGGTAGATATGTTCACCTGTATGTGTATATATATACACACAAAAAAAATTCTGAGGTTTTCTGGCTAGCCCTCTCTGAAATAAAAATGGGTGGCCTTTTATTCAGGCTTCTCATTCTCACACATAGGGTTAGCTTTATTTACTTGCAATAAATAATATATTTCAGGTTCCTAGCAGAGAACTGATCTTCAAAGTCTATAGTATAGTTCTCATATAAAATGTGGTTTTGAGAAATCTTTTACAACACTGGGGTCAGCCTGTGCTCTGGGGCAGTGGGGGCAGCTGGGATGAGTTGACAGGGTGGAGCAAGAGGGCTTGTCTTTCATAAGAGCAGCCTCCTCTTTTATTTACTTTGCAGAGTGCCCTTTTCCATAAAATGTTTTATGTAGAAATGCTTCAGATATAAATGGGTACAAGAACTAACATGAAAAAACTGCTTAAGAATGTTATTTTCCTTTATATATCATTATTATGTTTGGGGAAATATTATTGGTCAGTAGGAATCTATGAGTTTGCAAATCGTGAATCATATTATATAATTGCTATTGCACTTGATTTTAAAAATATATATTTTTATTGATTTCAGAGAGGAAGGGGGAGAGAGAGAGAGGGAAACATCAATGATGACAGAGAAGCATTGATTGGCTGCCTCCTGCATGTCCCCTATTGGGGATCAAACCCACAACCCGGGCATGTGCCCTGACTGGGAATCAAACCACAGGTACATAGGTTGATGCTCAACACTGAGCCATGCCACCCGGGCTGCACTTGATTTTTTCTTAAATGTAAGCTTTTTCCAAGGCAAGGTTAACTAGGAAGACAATTTAGGGGACATATTTGACATAACTCATGGTTCTCAAGGGAGCAGATATTCTTACAAAAGTTAGAATTATTCACCATTAGTCTTTATGAATAGGGCTCATTGTGCCTGCTCAAAATTCACCTTTTGCAAATCCCCTAACCTTGAAATGGATCATAATATTACCAGGTGACACAGGGAAACGCTGAGAATTGGTAAATGAAGTGCGACAACATAGTGCTTTTATGTCCCCCAGAAAGGTATTTATGTAGAGTAAGCACTCACATTAATTTGACAAGTTGTTTTTAAGAGGCCACCTTGAGGCCAACCTCTTTGACATTAGAGTTTGAATATGAAATATTCTACCAATGTGGTGGTAGTTTTTTTTTTAAAATATATTTTATTGATTTTGTACACCTTGAGGCCAACCTCTTTGACATTAGAGTTTGAATATGAAATATTCTACCAATGTGGTGGTAGTTTTTTTTTTTTTAATATATTTTATTGATTTTGTACAGAGAAGAAGGGAGAGAGATAGAGAGTTAAAACATCGATGAGAGAGAGTCATCGATCAGCTGCCTCTTGCACACCCCCTACTGGGGATATGCCCGCAACCAACGTACATGCCCTTGATCGGAATCGAACCTGGGACCCTTCAGTCCCCAAGCCAACGCTCTATCCATTGAGCCAAACCGGTTTCAGCTGTGGTGGTAGTTTTTAAAACATGGAAAAGTCTATGCAAACTCCTATTACTTCAAATAGAGCTCCCCAGAGTAGTGGGAGTCTTGAAGATCAATTGTCTAAGCAGAAATAATTGAATGAAACACTTCTGTGCGTGCCTAATGGGAAAAGGAGAGTTTAAAGGACTATTAACTAAGCTTAACAACTACTTTTCTAAATTAATGATCAGATTAGTTCATTTAGACAGATAGATGCTAAATACCTACTGAGAGTCTACATTTATACCAAAGTCTACTTGATCAAGTTTCTCTTTCTTCAGGACTTAAATTTTCCTTTATTTTGTCTTGTGCCAAAACCTGGCACAGAGCCTGGCCCTTTCAGTAAATCCTCTTTCACTCTGATGGCTCTTCCCTGAGAGCTGAGTGTTGTTACCCAGACATAGTAGAAGCCCTTTTGTTTCTTCTACACATACGACAGTAAATGAAAAAGTATGTGAAAGCACTGACAAATTATCTTTACAACGTAATTTTTACATTAAAAATTCTGGTCCACTGGAATTTATCTTGGTATAAGAAGTGAGATATGGATCCAAGTTTATTTTTCCAGGCGGCTGCCCCGTTGTTCCAGTACCATTTATTAAACAATCCATCTTTCCTTACTGATTTGTCACGTTGGCCATACGCTACATTTTCATATACATGTGAGCCTATTTCTGAACTTCCAGTTCTGTTCCACGGATCTAATCTGTCTGTCATGCATGAGCCAGTTCCATACTGTATTGATTATTGAGACTTTGTAGTATGTTTTTTAAAAAATCTGATACTATAGGCATAATACCTTATGTATCTTTTGCAGATCTTCCCCGAGGACAGATTTCTTTCCCATATTGACTTAGAACTAGTTTACCTCGTTTAAAAACAATTCCTTTGGAGTTCCACTGGGAATCCATGAAACTTTGGATTATCTTAGGTAAAACAGGCATTTTTACATCACTGAGTCTAATTATTCAAGGACATGGTATGCCTTTGTGATTGTTCAAGGTCTTCTGCATCACTCTGAAAAAAATTTCTTTATGTAGGCTTTCATAAGTTTATTTCTTGGTGTTTTAGCTTTTCTTCTAACTGGTTATTGCTATGGTCTCCCTGTTTCCACCCTTGCCCTCTACAATGTGTGTTCTCCACACAGCAGCCAAAGGGACCCTTCAGGATGATCATCCAGACCATTCTGATTGTCCCTTTTGCCTGGCACGCTCTAAGCCCTCTGTTTGGCTTTCTCCTTCACTGTGTCTTGGTTCATGTGCCATCTCCGTAGAGAAGCTTTCTGGGACCACCTTTTAAAAGAAGCCCCCATCCACTTCTATACTGTACTTTTTCTTATATAATTATCACTAGCTGACATTACAAGGTATATTTATTTGTTTGTCTGTGTCCCTAACTGGAAAGTCCTATGAGAGAGTGGACTCTGTTTCGCTCTTTGCAACATCTTCAGCATACAGAACATATCAATATGACACACACAGCTATTCAGGAAACATTAACAAGCTAATAGGTAAAGCATCCAACCTAATGAGCTCCAGGGCTCGGATGGCAGAGCTGCAGATGATCAGCATTAGGACTGACTTCTTCTCTGTGTGGTTTTTCCAAAGTTTTACCCACTTAGGGCAGACTGAAAAGAAAAAAAAAATACCACGAGAAAACATTATTCTAAATTAGTGTTTAAATAAAATAAGATAAATGAGCACTGTTTAGATTCTATTCTCTGGTTATTGTAGGTATTGGCTTAAAATGAAATGTCATTAAATTACAACACAAAACATATATTATGCCAAATAGATAAAGTGACTAGTTTTAGGAATAAGTAAAAAAAAGTTTAAAAGAATGCATTTGTGATACCTTTAATTGGTTTGATGTTTGAAGGCAATGTTTAGTAGGAAAAGAATTCTGATTCAATGATGTTAACTTTTAAAGGGACACTGAGCATAAAATATAAAATAGAAATGACATTAAAATAATAGCAACCATCTGGTGAGCAGTGACACTGTGCTAGGCACTTTACACGTGTTTTCTTGTTTAGCTCTCATAGACCTGTGCAGTTGATTACATTTACATTTGCTGAATTTGAGTGGGAGAAAGGTTTATGAACTCAAGCTGAGGGTTCTCACAAGTGAATAAAGTTTGAAAGAAGAATGATAAATCCTCTACATCTAAATATTTTACTGTTGGTTACAGATAAATGACTAGCTTGTATGAATAATCTAGTTATTTCTGATTACACACAATACATGTTGAAAAGATCTAATTAGATAAACTATATACTACTCAGGATCAGAGTTCTAAAGATGTGGACAGAGCCTCAGAATCTCAGAGCTGGAACAAGGGTCACACAGTCCAACTTTTTCATCTTTTAGATAATAAAGTTAAGTCTCAGAGAATGCTCAGTGACTTTCCCCAGGTCAAAGAGCAAATTAGTGATGGATCTGAACTAGAATGCTAATTATTCTCTAGATTTGTAGATCAATAATTCTCATGTGTTATAAAATAAAAATCAGACCAAATCACAAATTCTCAAAGCTAGACCAAAACAAGAATAAATTTAAATTAAAAAAAGTTAATATGAAGAGGACCTAAAACACCCTCCATTTAAAATCCATTTGAGATGGAAACTTTTTATTTTAAATGTAGTTTTGAAAATTTTTATTTTGAAGAGACTGAATTCATGTTTTAATGTAATAACAATTTGATGAATATACATATATATATATATATATATATATATATATTTTTTTTTTTTTTTTTTTTTTTTAAAGAATGAGAGTTTACTTACTTTCTTTTAGGTATGATGAAAGACTATGAGTCAAATCGTTGGCCTTGAGGAAACAGGAGTCTAGGATTATGAGAAACATGCTTTGTAGAGAGTTCTGCAACTATTTCATTGTTGATTTCACATAATAAAAGCAGATTAAACCAGGTTGTATATCACTAGCAAATTGGGGGCTCATCACATATTTAAAGTGTTATCTAGGATATAATACATTAGCAGCAGCAATCAGAAGTAAATATTAACTGTCCATAGTTTCTTAGAGTAGGGAAATACAAGCTTATTGCATTATTCAATGGATTAATGAAACATCATTATTTTTCAAATAACAGGCAATACACAAAGGCAAAGCTGAAACAAATCTATGTCGAGATGTTCCCAATATAACATTCAAACATAGGGAATTGCTCAACCATTGACAATCATGCTTTAGCAATCATGTAGTATTGATAACTCTGTAATGGGAGATGGATAAAAAAGCAGCAGATTTATTGTCTTAATTATTATTATTATTTTAAATCCTCACCCAAGGACATTTTTCCCATTGATTTTTAGAGAGAGACATCGGTGTGACAGAGATACACTGATTGGTTGCCTCCATTGCTCCTGCACACACACTAAAATCAGAATTGAAACAGGGACCCGACGCTCTATCTACTGAGCCAAAATGACTAGGGCTGTCTCACTTTATCTACAAGGAAAAGTTGTCACACAGCAGAGTGCTAGGGAGCAAACTATTACTAAATTAAATGACATTTATATTGTGACCCAGCATTTCTAACACATTATGTGAATAATGAACTTCAAAGATGTTGCTTCCTGTACTGTTGTGGAACCTTTCATGGTCTTTAAAATTAATTTCCCCAGCCTGGATATGATCAGGCTTACCTGGAGAGCTTTGCTGAAGACCCAGATTCCTGGGATGGACTTACTTTTTCATAGTGAATCAGGATTCCCTGGGGGTGAGCCTGGGAATTTGCTTTTTTAAGTTGCAGCTCGCCTTCAGGCTTTTAGCGCTGATCTAAACCACACTGCAGCTCTCAGGAGGACAGTAGGGTTAGCTCCAAGGGACTCCTGCCTCAAAACTAATTAAGTGCCCATGTGTCTGACATTAACAATGCACAGCACACCATGCTAATTGAAAAGACATGTTCCTGCCCTACAGACACAAACAACCTCAAATCAAAACCAAGTTACACACTTGGCAAACTTAATAGGAAAATATTTGACTATTTACAGCCAGTTTACACCCCTTCCTGAGTCTGCACCAAACAAGCCATTTCTCCCTGTCCTTGGTCTCACCAGTGTAGTGATGGGTCTTTTCTCTAAACCCTTCTTATGATGCATTCAGTCACTGGGAATCAGAATGGCCTAATTTATTAACTGAAAATGAAAATCTGCTCTTTTTGATCATAATAGTATTTTTAATATATTTACAATTATTTTCTAAATTCTCGCTAAACCAACTCATGCCCACGTATTCTTGCTTACTTACATCACTGAGCTCTAATACAGTAATAATATAATGTAGACTCACTATGGAACTCAAATGACTCTTTAAAGTAAGGTGACCAGACGTCCCGATTTTTAACAATTTGTCCTGTGGCGTTTTAAAAAAATCCCGATTTTTGGAAAAATCAGGACTTTTTTAAAGCACCGAGGAACGCGGGACAAATTGTTAAAAATCGGGACTGTCCCGCCAAAAGCGAGACACCTGGTCACCTTACTTTAAAGGCTTCTTCTGACCTTTGACTCTCTACTGTTCTAGGAAATTAAGGTTTTTGATGTTCCATAAGGTTACAGGGGAGCAGTGATCCCATTATTTCACCAGTCCTTCCAGAGTTGAAGGTATGCTCTAACAAAAAACGAGAAAGGAAAAATGACCACTGAGCCACAGTAAAACCACACTCCCAATTAAACCTTGAATAGAGGCTTTGTTATAACACTTGCTTCCTGAGAAAGAGCAGCCAGGACCCAGCTCCTCCGGAGGGACGGCTGTGTGGGGAAGAGTGCTGCTAACTGCCGTTGGAGCCGGGGGGCCCAGTAAGTCAGAACTCCAGGTCTCGCAATGTGGAAATGCACTCTTTCCATTCCCTAAAGGAAACCCCTTTTGGAAAAGAAATGCACAGGGCACTCAGGTCTCCAACCCAATGTGCATTTTATAAAAAAAAGCTTATCACAGAGGAATTATAAAAATTCAGGGAACAGGCTGTTTTTCAGCTTCTCAAGCCTCTAGGAAGCATATAGTTGTAATGGAAAAAGGAAGTCAAACCACTCTTGACTTTTTCCAAAAGCAGCATTCGGTAGCCCTTGGGGTCTGTAACTAGCTCATCTCAGGCATGGCACCCAAACTGTTTGCATTTTGAGTTTATGACATCTTTTTTCTTCAATCTCTGCCCAGGAGTTATAGGATATATCATAAATTTCAAATTAATGAAAGTAGTTTGTTTTAAAATTTTTTTCAATGTATTTTAACTTAATTATAAATTCTCTAAGACAGTAGATTTCAAACAATAGTAGGGTGAAGAGTCACCTGGGTGATGTGTCAGCCTTGCTAACAATGCACAATTTTGTCCCTATCTTTAGGTAGTTGGCTGGAAAAAGTCTGGACCAAGACCCAACAACTATCCTAAAAGCAAAACCATAATTAGAAATCCATGATAAGAGCAATAATAAAATTAAGCTGCTTATTAAAGCTAACATTCTTATCTATAAAGGATGAATAAATTAGTGTTTCATGTGCATACTTTTAAATGTGTGGTTTATCTTTATTTAACTTCTATCCTCCTTAGGGATTGTTACTCTTCGAAGAATCTGGTCAGAAAATAAATAAATAAATAAAAGCACCCAGCTGGTGTGGCTCAGTGGTTGAGCCATCGACCTATGAACAGGAGGTTACAGGGCACATGCCCAGGTTGTGGGCTCAATAGCTAGTAGGGGGCCTGGAGGAGGCAGCCGATCAATGATTGTGTATCATTTACGTTTCTATCTCTCTCTCTCCCTCTCTGAAATCAATAAAAAAAATATTTTAAAAAAACATACTCAACAACTAGCCTTTTGAATAAAAATACAATTAAAATCTTACTATTAGATTACCATATAGCATCTTAAAGAAATCATCCACAAATTAAAATTACGAGGTTGAGGAAAGGAGCATTAGTATGGGGAAAATGTATCAATGTCTGGCTGAGATACCTTGTCATAACATAAAGATGAATCTGTTTTGCTCCTCATCAGGAAAATTGCTAGCAATCAACAATGGATCCTTCTGAATGACTAACCTCAGAATAGTAAGAAATTAAAACAAACAAACAAACAAACAACCCCCCCCAAAACAAAACAAAACAAAACAAAAACCCAAAGAAGCCTGGCTGTACCTGGTAGCTTCAGTTCTTCTAATTCAATCACTGAGCGGCTGCTGCTGTAATAGTCCTTCATCAGTTTCTGTAGGTCTTCAGGTGTCCCAGGTTTTGGCTCTGATTTTGCAAGAATGTCAGTAATTTTCTTCTAAGGTGAGAAGAAAGAAAGGAAAAAACAAAAACAAAAACAAAAACAAGGAGGAAAGACTTTAGAATGGCATTTGGCTTATGATGGGTTGATTCCTCTGGCATTTAAACTGCACATAGGCTTTGGTGGTAACCAAGTATGAAAGTGAGTTTTAATAAACACACTTGAGAAAACATAATAGCAATTTTTGGGACACTGCTGCTTTGAAAAATGAGTGGAGGATCTAAAAGATTCCTTGTAATTCCTAGTTACAAAAACTTCTAGGAGAACCGACATTTTTAGAGCAGTTTTCATAGTAGGATTTTATTTCCTGTTAAAAGTCAAGCAATCTTGATTCTGTAGAAGCTCTCTTCAAACCTGGAAGGGCAGAATTTTGAGAATTTCTTGCCTAACCTGATTTTTCAAGCACTGACTCTCACTTTGGATTTCGGGGATTAAATAAAAGCTACAGGAGTAATTTGAGCACAGGACTCACTGCAAAGGGAGACTTTTAGAACCTCAATTCTCAAGTCTTGAAGTAGTCCTATGGGAAGCAGAACAGAGAATACTGTACATCTATTTTAATTTGGACCTATTTGTGTAGCATTTACCGAATGCCTGCAATGTACTAGGAACACCCACTCTTTCCTTTAATTTTCATCATAAACTTCCCTTCTCATTTCCTTCTAATGTTTCACCAAAGATCTAGAAAGAGTTGTTCCTCATCAACCTCCCAGTCCCCAAGTTTTTTTTCCTTCTTCCACAATGTCCTCATTTCTATACCACTGCCGAGAATGGTCAAAGTTCTGTCAAGTGAATTAACTTTAAAAAATATGTCATCGGTGGGCACATTTTAGCATGACCTCAGCCAAGGCTAACCTATCTAGCTAGAGTTCTGACCTTGAGCCACCAAGAACTTAACACTTCTAAAGGCCATTAGTGCACAAACTATCAAAGAGAAGTTAACGTAACTTCTTTAAGGACTTGCCAAACCTCAGCCAATTTGGCATATCCTATCTTCCTATTTGGCCATTTGCAAGCAAAGAAAACATATGCACACACACTACAGTTTTCTAAAAGCTTGCTGTTAAGTAATTGGTTTGAGTCCATCTTCTCTCCTCTAATCCCAATCATATTTCCTCTGCTGACTTCAGCAAGACCCTTCTTGGCAGCAAGAGAATTATACTCCTGTTTTCACAACTGTGGTGGAAGGTCAGAGCTAACCACATTTTCTCCAAGTCTGAGCCATAAGAAAGTTTGCATAGGAGCAAGAGTCTTCCATATGCTCACAGTCAAATATTAAAATACAAGGGGTGCCTTTTGCTTTAAATTATGGTTCCAAATAGGAGGCTGAAATCCTTATACTACCTTCATTGGCTTATTTATTTTTATTAATACTCTAAGATAAAAGGTTTTAAACATTGAAATGGGTAAGAAAAGAAAGGTTGGTAAACTTTCATCGGGCAGAGCCAGAGGGACCATAGGGCAGGAGAGCTCTGGGCCCCTTCTAGAATTAGAAACCCATGTCTGACTTCTAACCACAGTGAAAACACAGGGTGGGTAAGAAAGATGTTTAGTGTTTCACAAAACTGAAATAGGAATCAGAAGAATTTATTTTTAGCTACAACAGAAACACTTATTACAAGTGTCCTTAGGAAAGTCACCAAACCCCACTGAATCTTAAAATTTCTTCATCTCTAAAGTCACGATGATAATAATTGCCTCATCAAAGCACACTATACAAAAAAGGTGATGTAACCCAGGTAGGGCCACACCATTGTAAGCAATTAATATTACCTTTCTCCTCTTCTTGGTCTTGGTGGCATCTTCTTTTGTTTCCTTTGGTTGTACCAAGAAACATTCCGTAGGCTATAAAAAATACAAGTGAGAAAACTTTCCTCTTAGCATGATGAAGTAGCAACTAATGGCACTGATCCCAAAGTCCTACAGCCATAAATATATTCTTCAGATCATCTTGGTAATATTCTTCAGATAGACAGATGCAAGAAGACCCACTGTAGGTTATTAGGCAGACGGGAAAAATCTTTGAACAAGGGTCAGAATATGTGAGTGCACATGTGTGTTTGGGGAGGTGGTGCAGGATCTTAAAGATTAAAGACAGTAGCCAGGTTTGTAAAATACAGGCAGAAATAGATGTGATGAAAATGAAGACGTAATGAGAATGCCTGTCTGGTGAGACTTGTGTTTTCCATGAACTAGCAATGTGTGAACCTGTGTTTCCAAGTCACTAGTTTATTACTTTATTATTTTGTAACTCTTTCCTTTCCTCAGTAAGCATAGAAAATCTGAAATAGGATATAGTTACTTATATTTTTATAATACCTGGGACAAACATCTTACCTATCTATGATGAATGCAAAATGAATGTGTCTATTGACGGTCTGAGAAGTCTTGGCACCAGCCATCTTGAGTAACTGATTTTGCCTTGACCCCTGAATACTCTATACTGTTTAGTGCTATTTTTACCCTGCCCCCTTTTTTTTTTTAATGTAGAAAAACAGGAAATTTGGACTATGTCCTTGATTTATAACATAGAATGCCTCAGATTCCATATTTATTAATCATAAGCAAGAATATAAAATGTTTCCTGTGCTGGGTCTTTTATGCAACATTTTTAAAAAAGTTACCAAGTAAGATATAAAATGTAAGTGAAAACTTATTCTGAGTTTTTCCTTGATTAAGTTTCCTTTCCAACTAGAGCGTACTCAATTTAAACTGGTAAGCTACTAACTAAAGCAATCTTGTCTCCACTGGCTCTGTTTAAAATGATTACAGATGAAGCTTTCTATTACAGTTTACAGACAGTCTGCAGATTAAGAATGCCTATGGCCTGAAGCCAGAGAGAGAGAGAGAAAGATATAATTCTACATAATTTCTTCAAGACACAGAGCCAGGACCAGCAGTTTCTAGACACTGTTTCAGTTAGTAGAGAAGTAGATGCAAAGGGCTCAAGATTAAAGTAACATGGAATCTTGAAATTTTAGCTTCTTCTCAGTTAAAACAAAAAACCTACAAAGAGCAATTGCATCATAGCTAAAGAATACGGTAAAAAAGATATTATGACCTCTCTGTTTTAGAAAGTTAAGCTGTCTTGTGGATGCAGATACATGCCAATTAGAAACTGGGCCAAGGCCACTAATGTGTCACAGAAGCTGCCAGATGGTCATAAGAGTCCAATTACAGACCAGGCCAAGATTCAGCTCATGCTCCTAAGGCAAAGACCCAGATATGATTAGCAGATCCTTTAAGGCATTCTGTAGTATCTTGTCACCAGTATCAAGGTTTTTGGGAAGCAGATGGAGAAACCTGTTCCATTTTCTTATTTAGCAAATTAGGATGTTCTTTAAGAGTATATTCAATGTGCTTGGTTGTATTTATGCTAGGTTTACAAAATCAATCAGCTCAACATGACACAAATCTGGAAATGAGCTCAGTTACAAGAGTATAGACTCTGGGATAAAAAAAGTAAGTCTGAATCATGCATTGGAAAGAAGAAATATGTTTTATGAATTGCTTTAGTCAAGATAGAGAATCAGTTTTACATGGTAGGTTCAAATTCTTAGATCATCCTAAAGAAGATGCAGTATATTTGAATTCTGGGAGCAGTCACCTTTGCTGGTTGAGGTAGTGTACAAAGAAGCCAAGTTTATTGGGTCAATTTCCAGAGTGGTGAGATGACTTTTTGAGGAAATACAAATCCATAGTATTGAAGATTCCTAAACTTAGCTGTCTAATGAATGCTGATGTTTACCCTCAGAGACTAGATAAGAAGATGTGGAAGACTTAGACCAGGCTAAACTAACCATTTCTGGAAACAAATTCGAAAAGTTCATGTGTCTTTGATAATTGATAAGTAATGCCATTATATAACTTTATAAGAAGTATAATGATTTTAAATATGTAGCAAAAGATATAGTTTAAATATGTATTTAGAAGAATCACACTTCCCAAAAATGTATGAAAGAGTTAAAGTTTTTAAGTGAAGTAATTGGGGCATATAACCAATCCTTTAAAGTGCAAAAATTATATTATTTAATAATAATTCTTCTGGTTAAACATAGCAAAACAATGGCAAAATGCCAATATACTGAAAATATAGAAAAGTGAAAAGATACAAACCTATAAGAATTAAGAAACAGAGAGGTTAACAGTAGTGGAGAGATTTCAACAACTTTTTTAAAAAATAGAAAGTGAATAAAACTGCATGGAAGTGATTTAGCAGAGAGAGGAAGCTAGCACCTGGGTATCTGGAGAGGTGGAAGCTAATAATAAGTGAGTCTGTTGGCCTCTGAAAAGGTTTAGTAGGTGGAGGTAGAAGGTACTATAGAGAATGAAGGGTTTAAAAGAGATTGTTTGAAAGTTTATGTTTAGAAAGATTAGCCTCCCTCACACATTCCACTGAGCTGAATCTCCTGCCCAGGCAGGCAAGCAACCCTCTTATTACTGCTTCCTCTCCTCTGCTTTTCCCGGCAACAGACTGGAGGGTTATTCTCTGGAGAGGGCCAGACGACCAAGATGTCTGACACAGGGGATAGAGGACAGAGGTGAAGGCTCACTTCCTTTTCCTATCTCTCTTTCAGGATGTTTCAAGCCAGGCTTATATATTACCAGCAGGAAACCACTAAATTATTCTTTGGAAAAATGAAATGGCTTAAGAGGAATGCCACAAAGAGTGACATTTGGGGATACCATATTAAAAATCTACCTTGTCATCCTACCCCTACAATGAAATCCACTAATCATCAAACCTTACTTTGTACCAAAATTTTCTAGCAACTGTTTAATGTAACTCTCTTTACTATGAATAGACAGCTAAAGTTCATCAGACAACTAAGTACAGTCTCCAACATAAGAGCAAATAACAACAACAACAAAAAGAATCCTGAGGAAAGAGGTATATTTCTTGAAAATAATTACAATTAATATTCTCACATATAAGGGAAGAGTTTTCCTCCATGAAAAATAGATGCCATAAAAAGATATTATCAGAAAACATTTGAACATTAAAAAAAAAAAAAGTTGAAATAAAAATGTAGGAGGAAGGCTTAAAGATAAAGTAGAGACAATCTCCCATAAAAAATTTAAAAATGGTAAGAAAATTAGAGAATCAGGTCAAGAGATTCAATATTCCAGTAAAAGGAATTGCAGAAAAAGAGATCATATAAAATATGAAGATGGCCGAAGCTGGTTTGGCTCAGAGGTAGAGCGTTGGTCTGCGGACTGAAAGGCCCCAGGTTCGATTCCGGTCAAGGGCATGTACATTGGCTGCGGGCACATCCCCGGTAGAGGGTGTGCAAAAAACAGCTGGTCGATGCTTCTCTCTCATCGACATTTCTAGCTCTCTATCCCTCTCCTTTCCTCTCTGTAAAAAAATCAATAAAATATATTTAAAAAATAAATAAAGGATTATAAAAAAAGATTGGTTTTTGATCTTGAATAGCATTACTGGATGCTAGAACTCATTGGAGCAGTGCCTTCAAAATTATAAGGAAAACATATTTAAAAACTTTTTTATACCCATCCAAACTATCAATAAAAGTAAATTAAGATCTTAATAAACTTGCTTTCTACCCACAGATACTGAAGGTGTGCCCCAGAAAAATAAAGGTTTAATAAATCAAGACCAAGGAAGATATGGAATTCAGCAAACAGGGAGACTAATCCAGAAAAATGTTGAAGGGGCAATAAAGAAAAGTCTCAATTGTTCAAAAGGTCTAGAGAATAGCCAATTCAGAGTGGAATAGGAGCATGGAGGTCTGCAGAAAATAACAATAACTGATCTCTTTGAGCATATGAAAAATATTAATGAGCATGTGGAAGAGATGTTGGAACATATGGAAATAATTAAAAATAGGAACACAGCAAGTTAGACAAAGGGAGAAGTGCAGTAATTTTATTGATGTCATAAAAATAAAGACTTGTATAAGAAAGGAGGAATGATTACAGCTTCTATTTTTCTCAGGATTGAACAGCATTTCTATGGTCATAATAATAAAAGAATAACACCCGTTTTACCCAAAATATGATATTGTGTTGGCAGGGTTTGTGGCAACTAGAGATGGATTAGAGGGGCAAAGGGAGAGTTATGTTTTCATATGCTACCTTGAGAAGTTAACATATCATGTCAGAAATGGGTAAATCAAGAAACAGCAGTAAAAACTGTAAGGTAGCAAATATGAAAAACAACTAAAAGTTGAGGATGACTACCTCTGAGGAAAAAGCTAGGGAAACAATAGGAAAAGGGATAGCTGTTTCTTCATTAAAAATTTTAATAGTGTTTGAATATTTGTTAAAAAATTTTAATTGCCATTTTATAACAAAAATGAGAATGTTTATTATAAAAAAAAACAATTTAGAAGTGGCTTTTAGTTTCTTTTGGGTTTAGTCAAAAGTTATTCAATACACATCACTAAAATATTTAAAATTAAAAGATTAATAAACCTAAATGCTGATATAAAGCAACTAAAAGTCTCATATACTGATGGTGGGAATGCAAAAATGTTATAATCATTTTGGGGAAAAGTCTAGTTTTTATAAACCTAAACATGACTCAGCAATTCCATTCCTGGTATTTACTCAAGAAAAATAAAAATATATATTCACAAAAAGACTTGTATATGAATGTTCATGACAGATTTATTCATAATAGCCCCAAATAGAAAATAGTCCCAGGTATCCATCAGAGAGGAATGGATAAACAAACTGTGGTACCTAATATGCAAATTGCCTCTACAAGTGGGAGGTAGACTTTCACTGACCAACAGGGGGTGGCGGAACATGGTGGGTATCAGTGATATGGCACTGGCAGCAGTGGCAGTGGAGGTGCTGATGGCCCCCATGGGCCCCAA